ATGTATTATTATTATTATTATTATTATTATTATTATTATTATTATTCCTATCAGCTTCTGGACTTTTTTCTATTCCTTTTTTGTGATGTATTATTATTATTATTATTATTATTATTATTATTATTCCTATCAGCTTCTGGACTTTTTTCTATTCCTTTTTTGTGATGTATTATTATTATTATTATTATTATTATTATTCCTATCAGCTTCTGGACTTTTTTCTATTCCTTTTTTGTGATGTATTATTATTATTATTATTATTATTATTATTATTATTCCTATCAGCTTCTGGACTTTTTTCTATTCCTTTTTTGTGATGTATTATTATTATTATTATTATTATCACTATTATTATTCCTATCAGCTTCTGGATATTACTTTTGTTATTATTATTATTATTATTATTATTATTATTATTATTATTATTATTATTCCTAGCAGCTTCTGGACTTTTTTCTATTCCTTTTTTGTGATGTATTATTATTATTATTATTATTATTATTATTATTATTATTCCTATCAGCTTCTGGACTTTTTTCTATTCCTTTTTTGTGATGTATTATTATTATTATTATTATTATTATTCCTATCAGCTTCTGGACTTTTTTCTATTCCTTTTTTGTGATGTATTATTATTATTATTATTATTATTATTATTATTATTATTCCTAGCAGCTTCTGGACTTTTTTCTATTCCTTTTTTGTGATGTATTATTATTATTATTATTATTATTATTATTATTATTATTCCTATCAGCTTCTGGACTTTTTTCTATTCCTTTTTTGTGATGTATTATTATTATTATTATTATTATTATTATTATTCTTATTATTCCTAGCAGCTTCTGGACTTTTTTCTATTCCTTTTTTGTGATGTATTATTATTATTATTATTATTATTATTATTATTATTATTATTATTCCTAGCAGCTTCTGGACTTTTTTCTATTCCTTTTTTGTGATGTAATTATTATTATTATTATTATTATTATTATTATTATTATTATTCCTAGCAGCTTCTGGACTTTTTTCTATTCATTTTTTGTGATGTATTATTATTATTATTGTTGTTATTATTATTATTATTATTATTATTATTATTATTATTATTATTATTATTCCTAGCAGCTTCTGGACTTTTTTCTTTTCCTTTTTTGCAAAATGCCGAAAGTGGGTGGTTGGCGTTGAGTATAATCTTGCCACCCAGTCTTGCATTCTCCCTTTCCTTCTCCAACACGCACATGTGAATGCTTTGCATTCCCATGTCTGGGCATCGGGCTGCAAACGCAGACTCGGGTGGGAGAGCCTTGGGATTTCACAGCTCCTTTCCCCCCTTTTCCTGTTAATGAGAAACTAGTCCTCGTAGTGCTCCAAGAGAAGGAGGAAGCAGTTAGGAAGGTGCATCTCGTTTCCCTTCCAAGTTCCCTTTAAGAACAACACTGATCCCAATCATAACATAACCATACACAATGGGCTGTGCCTCCTAGCAAGGGTGGCTCAGCAGCCTCAACCTTCTCCCTTCCAAAAGCATGCTTCTCCCTTGCAGAACTGGAGATTTGCAACCAGTATTAGGTTCTCACGTATGGATCAGAACCGTCGTATGTACCAGATAGAGAACCCCCATTGAACCATTCCATAGATAGAGAATCCTTCTTTTGCTTTTGTGTTGGATTTTAGGATTCTGAATCCAGGTTGCTTTCTCTTGTAGGAACTCAATGGTCTATAATAGGAAGGAGATAATTGATCATTTTATACATTTTCGGGGCTTCTCTGGCTGAGAATGATTTCTTTTGGGATGTGTGTGTGTGTGTGTGTGTGTGTGTGTGTATATATATATATATATATATATATATATATATATATAATCATAGAATCATAGAGTTGGAAGAGACCTCATGGGCCATCCAGTCCAACCCCCTGCCAAGAAGCAGGAATATTGCATTCAAATCACCCCTGACAGATGGCCATCCAGCCTCTGCTTAAATATATATATATATAGAATATCTCTATCTATCTATCTATCTATCTATCTATCTATCTATCTATCTATCTGTCTCTCTCTCTCTCTCTCTGTGTGTGTGTGTTAGGAATTACTTTGGGATGTATATATATGTATAGAATGTCTATATGTGTGTGTGTGTTAGGAATTACTTTTGGATGTATATATATGTATAGAATGTCTATGTGTGTGTGTGTTAGGAATTACTTTGAGATATATATATATATATATATATATATATATATGTCTATATATGTGTGTGTGTGTTGGGAATTACTTTGGATGTATATATCTAGAATGTCTATATGTGTGTGTGTGTGTGTTAGGAATTACTTTGGATGTATATTCAGAATGTCTATATGTGTGTGTGTGTGTTAGGAATTACTTTGGATGTATATATATGTATAGAATGTCTATATATATGTGTGTGTGTGTGTGTTAGGAATTACTTTGGGATGTATATATATGTATAGAATGTCTATATATGCGTGTGTGTGTTAGGAATTACTTTGGGATGTATATATATGTATAGAATGTCTATATATATGTGTGTGTGTTAGGAATTACTTTGGGATATATATATATGTATAGAATGTCTATATATATGTGTGTGTGTTAGGAATTACTTTGGGATGTATATATATGTATAGAATGTCTATATATATGTGTGTGTGTTAGGAATTACTTTGGGATATATATATATGTATAGAATGTCTATATATGTGTCTGCGTGTTAGGAATTACTTTTGGATGTATATATATGTATAGAATGTCTATATATGTGTGTGTGTGTTAGGAATTACTTTTGGATGTTTATATATGTATAGAATGTCTATATATGTGTGTGTGTGTTAGGAATTACTTTTGGATGTTTATATATGTATAGAATGTCTATATATATGTGTGTGTGTTAGGAATTACTTTTGGATGTTTATATATGTATAGAATGTCTATATATGTGTGTGTGTGTGTTAGGAATTACTTTGGATGTATATATATATAGAATGTCTCTCTCTATATGTGTGTGTGTGTTAGGAATCACTTTGGGATGTGTATATATATGTATAGAATGTCTATATGTGTGTATGTGTTAGGAATTACATTTGGATGTATATAATATGTTTGTGTGTGTGTGTGTGTGTGTGTGTGTGTGTGTATATATATATATATATATATATATATATATATATATATATATAATGTCTATATATATGTGTTTGTGTTAGGAATTACTTTGGGGTATATATATATATATATATGTATAGAATGTCTATATATGTGTGTGTGTGAGGAATTACTTTGGATGTATATATATAGAATGTCTATATATATATATGGGTGTGTGTGTATACATACTCATGCCCCACCCAGATGGTTGAGGGAGGGAATCAAGTTCTGTATTGACAGGATTGCCTAGCAGATTAAAGCCTTATGTGGAAGACTAACACTTGGTCAACAGCAGGTATGGGCAAACTTGGGCCCTCCAGGTGTTTTGGACTGCAACTGCCACCATTCCTAATAGTCCAAAACACCTGGAGGGCCCAAGTTTGCCCATGCTTGCTCAAAAACAAGATGATCTTGATCTCTGTCCATGTGCATCCCAGGCCCAAGTTTGCCCATGCCTGCTCAACAACAAGGTGATCTTGATCTCTGTTCATGTGCACCCTAGGCCCACATTTGCCCATGCCTGCTCAATAACAAGATGATCTCGATCTCTGTTCATGTGCACCCCAGGCCCAAGTTTGCCCATGCTGCTCAATAACAAGATGATCTTGATCTCTGTTCATGTGTACCCCATTGTAACTGCAGCTTCAGGGTGCCTCTACACTGTGCAATCAATGCAGTTTGGTGCTCCATTCACCCGTGCCTACTCAACAATGAGATGATCTCGATCTCTGTTCATGTGCACCCCATTGTAACTGCAGCTTCAGGGTGCGTCTACACTGTGCAATTAATGCAGTTTGGTGCTCCATTCACCCATGCCTGCTCAACAATGAGATGATCTCGATCTCTGTTCATGTGCACCCCATTGTAACTGCAGCTTCAGGATGCATCTACACTGTGCAATTAATGCAGTTTGGTGCTCTAATCACCCATGCCTGCTCAACAATAAGATGATCTCGATCTCTGTTCATGTGCACCCCATTGTAACTGCAGCTTCAGGGTGCGTCTACACTGTGCAATCAATGCCATTTGGTGCTCCATTCACCCATGCCTGCTCAACAATGAGATGATCTTAATCTCTGTTCGTGTGTGCCTCATTGTAACTGCAGCTTCAGGGTGCATCTACACTGTGAAATCAATGCAGTTTGGTGCTCCATTCACTCATGCCTGCTCAACAATGAGATGATCTTGATCTCTGTTTGTGTGCGCCTCATTGTAACTGCAGCTTCAGGCAGTTTGGTGCTCTAATCACCCATGCCTGCTCAACAACAAGATGATCTCGATCTCTGTTCATGTGCACCTCATTGTAACTGCAGCTTCGGGGTGCATCTACACTGTGTAATTAATGCAGTTTACTGCCATTGGGGTTCTCTTTGGCACAGAAGGCCTACGGCCCTTGCAAAACTATAATTCCTGGTTATCCCAAGCAGTTAGGTTGACATTCAATGTTAAGGTTTATTGGAAAGTCATGATAATAGTATATATTTTTGAGTGTTGCATAGACACTCCATACAACACTCAAAAATCTATGCTTTTATTATGATTTTTCGGTGACCCTTAGCATTGAATGTCAACCTTAGCTCAGCATATAAGTCCCAATGAATTCAGCTGGATTTACTCCTGGAGACATGTGCTTCCCAAAGCAATGCCTGCCACTCTCTATGATGATGTTGTCTTAATAAGGAGTCGAAGACAGTAATCCAGCCTCCTTTCCTTTTGCAATCGTAGGCAGCACCTGCCAGTTGCAGACTCATGCAGCTCGTTCAGGGTTTGGAATGCAGCTTGGACATGGATGTAATATTTTTTTCCCTCCCTCTTTTTCTCTTTTTCCAAAAAGGAAGCTGAAATCCCGCAAGAGGTGATTGAGCGCCTGGCTCACAGCGAAATCCACAGCATCCGTGACCTGCAGCGCCTCCTGGAGATTGACTCCGTAGGTAAATTATTCCCAGGCTTTTCCTACATTCGAAAACATGCCAATGGTGAGAGATATTATAATGCTGTGTGTGTCTGGTTTTTTGTTTTGTTTAGTTTATTCTTCTCCGAAAAGGGAAATGTCTTTGCAAAAGGAATATGTTTTGTTTGCCAACGCCTTGCAGAGTTCGGTCTCAGCAGGACGGAGCGATGCCGGCGTGTTCAAAGGCCTTCCCGGGTTGTATATCCCATGGGTCAGGTGTCAGGGAAGGGGCTGAGTCAAGCCTTTTGGGAGCTACTGAGAACATCTCAGCCTCAGAGCAGAGAGCGCAAGGCTTCCCATCCTACGAGCGAGCGTTGTGTTTGGCATTCCTCCGATTCTGCGACCCAAACATGAGATGTAAGAATCTTGCTGGATCAGAAGGAGAGGCTATCTCAGGCATGGCAACTCCAGCTACATGGGTGTGCAGATGATCTCTTGATTGGTCTTCAGCTCCCATAACATGGGAATGTTGATGATCCTTTGATTGGATTTCAGCTCCCACAACATGGATATGCTGATGATCCCTTGGTTGGACTTCAGCTCCCACAACATGGGTATGCTGATGATCCCTTGAATGGACTTCAAGTCCCACAACATGGATATGCTGATGATCCCTTGGTTGGACTTCAAGTCCCACAACATGGGTATGCTGATGATCCCTTGAATGGACCAGCTCCCACAACATGGATATGCTGATGATCCCTTGATTGGACTTCAAGTCCCACAACATGGGTAGGCAGATGACCTCTTGATTGGTCTTCAGCTCCCACAACATGGGTATGCTGATGATCCTTTGGTTGGACTTCAGCTCCCACAACGTGGGTATGATGATGATCCCTTGATTGGTCTTCAGCTCCCACAGCATGGGTATGCAGATGATCCCCTGGTTGGACTTCAGCTCCCACAACATGGATATGCAGATGATCCCTTGATTGGACTTCAAGTCCCACAACATGGGTATGCAGATGATCCCTTGATTGGACTTCAAGTCCCACAACATGGGTATGCAGATGATCCCTTGATTGGACTTCAAGTCCCACAACATGTGTAGACAGATGATCCCTTGATTGGACTTCAAGTCCCACAACATGGGTATGCAGATGATCCCTTGATTGGACTTCAAGTCCCACAACATGTGTAGACAGATGATCCCATTGATTGGACTACAAGTCCCACAACATGGGTAGGCAGATGATCCCTTGATTGGACTTCAAGTCCCACAACATGGATAGGCAGATGATCCCTTGATTGGACTTCAAGTCCCACAACATGGATAGGCAGATGATCCCTTGAATGGACTTCAACTCCCACAACATGGGTGGGCAGATGACCTCTTGATTGGTCTTCAGCTCCCACAGCATGGGAATGTTGATGATCCCTTGGTTGGACCTCCACTCCCACAACATGGATATGCTGATGATCCCTTGGTTGGACTTCAGCTCCCACAACATGGGAATGCTGATGATCCCTTGGTTGGACTTCAAGTCCCACAACATGGGTAGGCAGATGATCCCTTGATTGGACTTCAAGTCCCACAACATGGATATGCTGATGATCCCTTGGTTGGACTTCAAGTCCCACAACATGGGTCTGCAGATGATCCCTTGGTTAAACTAACTAGACTATTCAGACCATTCATTTACTCTTCTATCTTGGTCAGTTGATTTTGACTTCTGAGGCCTCCAATCATCAATAGGTATTGAAAACTAGAGGCAGCCATAGCTTCGTTGATACGAGTCTATCTCGCCTTCCTGCCTTCCCTTCCCCTGGATGTTTCCTTCTTTCGCTTTGCAGATAGGATTCAGTCCTGTAGGTTTTGTCCAAAAGTGAAAGTTCAATTTAGCTGCTATTGTAGCTGGCTGGATGAAGGGCTCTTGTTCCTCTGCAATGTTGGTTGGACACTCTCGGTCATGTTGCCTGTTGAATGACTAGATGGAATCATGTTTTGAGTTGTGTACCTGAGAGAGACATTAGAGCAGGATTGAGTTATTTTAAAAGGTTGTAGTTCAATATTTCTTGAAGGTATGTTTTTGCAAATGGAACCTGGAAAGATGGAGGTGAATCTTGCTGCCTTCCCAATGGCAAGGTTGACTGCCAGCAATGACTTGGTTTGGAGATTGAGAATGGAGAGTTATTTAAGGAGAGAATCCAGCATCTCCAGTCCAGGGGGAAGCTGCAGAGGAATAATGCAAAGCTGACGAGAGAGCCAGATTGATCCTCATTCTCAGTGTAGATGATGAAGAATGGATCCAGATCAGCAGTCTGGCTTCTGCCCATGAGATTTGGGTGAGGCTGAGAGCAGTCCGTGCACTGGATTCAGCAGCTACAGTGGCTGTTCTTGCCAGGAGATCCCTTGGCAATATTCATGGTGGATATGAGGCCATTCCTGTTCCTGTTGAGCCAACAATGTGATGCTGCAGCTAAAAAAGCCAACATGATTTTGGCCTGCATCAATAGGAGTCTAGTGTCTATACCAGGGATCCTCAAACTAAGGCCCGGGGGCCGGATGCGGCCCTCCAAGGTCATTTACCTGGCCCTCGTTCAGGGTCAACCTAAGTCTGAAACGACTAGAAAGCACACAACAACAACAACAACAATCCTATCTCAGCAGCCAAAAGTAGGCCCACATTTCCCATTGAAATACTAATAAGTTTATTTATTATTTATTTACAGTATTTATATTCCACCCTTCTCACCCCACAGTGGACTCACAACAGATCACAATGCACATATACATGGCAAACATTCAATGCCATAGACACGCAACATATATAGACAGACACTCAGAGGCTATTTAACATTCCAGCTTCTGGCCACCAGGGGAGCTGCCGTTTGTGACATTGATGAAGTACTTCCTCATTCTTTGCATACTTCCTGGAGATTTTTATGGCCTCGTAAATCAGTTAAATTATATTTCTTAAAATTGTTATTTATTTTAATTATTGTATTGTTTTAAGTGTTTTTTGCACTACAAATAAGATATGTGCAGTGTGCCTAGGAATTCATTCATGGTTTTTTCAAATTATAATCCGTCCCTTCAACAGTTTGAGGGACTGTGACCTGGTCCTCTGTTTAAAAAACATATGTTCCTTGATTCGTGTTTGGGCAAAGCTGTGTTTGGTGGTCCATATGTAGACCTGTCCACAGCTGCATGGTATATGGTAGACTCTTGCAGAAGTGAGAGGATCCCTCTTGTTTGCCGTTGAAACATCCACACCTAGCTCCAGCAGACAAGAGTCCTTTGTCCCACCCTGGTCATTCCACAGATATATAAACCCTTTTTCCTAGTTCCAACAGACCTCACTACCTCTGAGGATGCTTGCCAGAGATGCAGGCAAAACATCAGGAGAGAATGCCTCTAGACCATGGCCATATATAGCCCGAAAAAACCTACGACAACCCGGAAAGCATCCTGTTTGTGTTGGACTGAAAGGGAAGTTCTGACTGCAGGTTTCAGATCCGTATTGATCCTCTTAACGTGTGCAGAATAGATGTGTGTGAGCGCATTCCACTATTTGTTTTGAGAACTCTGCCTCTTTGCACAGTTGGTTTCCAGATTCCATAACCAGATATTTATGGGGATTGTGTGTATGTGTCATTTGATATATTTGTCCATGTCGCAGGCTTTTCTCTCTCTCTCCTTATTCCTATTTTAGAACTCAGCAGCTTCATCAAAGAGACACTCTGTTTTCTATGGACTGGGACTTTCTATTTTGGTCAGCTTCATATTATTCTTTCCAAGGGAGTATTTTTTCCAGCCAGGAAGAATTCTCATCCTATTGCCAGTCATTTCTTTAAGATCCATAGCTTCAGGCTCAATATATATTACATACACATACCTACCTATCTACCTACCTACCTACCTACCTATCTATCTATCTATCTATCTGCGAGCTCTGCGAGTGCAACATATACATATATACAAGCTCCGAATCTTTGGGCATTCGGACAAGTCAACATTGACACCAAAATACAACACCGCCTGAGCTCAGTGAGTGCAACTATACATATATACAAGCTCCGAATCTTTGGGCGTTCGGACAAGTCAACATTGACACCAAAATACAACACCGCCTGAGCTCTGCGAGTGCAACATATACATATATACAAGCTCCGAATCTTTGGGCATTCGGACAAGTCAACATTGACACCAAAATACAACACCGCCTGAGCTCAGTGAGTGCAACTATACATATATACAAGCTCCGAATCTTTGGGCGTTCGGACAAGTCAACATTGACACCAAAATACAACACTGCCTGAGCTCTGTGAGTGCAACTATACATATATACTAACTGCGATGGGAGACGGTGATCTTTGGGCATTCGAACAAGTCAACATTGATACCAAAATAAAACACCCCCTGAGCTCTGTGAGTGCAACATATAGACATATACTAACTGCGTTGGGAGACAGTGATCTTTGGGCATTTTGACAAGTCAACATTGACACCAAAATTCAACACTGCCTGTGCTCTGCAAGTGCAACATACACATATATACAAATGGCATTGGGAGACGGTGATCTTTGGGCATTCACACAAGTCAACATTGACATCAAAATACAACACCACCTGAGCTCTGCGAGTACAACATTCACACACACATACATATACATACACAGACGCACGTACTCACATACATATATATTCCACATCATGATTGTGAATGCAGTCATGTCTATACAAAATGGTGGTGGTTGTTTTTAAAAGCGAGAGTGAAAACCATCTCCGTCTTATTGACTTGTACCAGAAGCCCTTCCCCGCTGAGCATTAAAAGCAACCCGTGTTCACATACTCGGGGAAGGCAAAAATAAAATACCTCCGGGTTATTTTCTGCATCAGTGGAATTACAAATACTTTGCAGGGCAAACATGCAGTTTGCTAATATTTCTCTGCTGCAAGAGACCCATCGCACGCACTTGTCACACCCGTCAGCGTTTTGCCCAAGTCGATGCCTGATGATATACGGTGCCCTGAGC